ACAAACCTTTGACGTTAAGCATGCCTTTGGCACTCGCTGCAGCAGCAGTTCCTGTCTCTGTGTATGAAAACGTCTCTACCTTCCTGCATATTGCAAAACTGTGTTGTTTTGGTTGGTCTGCTTTTGGGTTTCTTTCTTTCTTTTTTTTAATGCAGCACTCAAAGCAGACACTGGTGAATAGGAGAGCCTTCAACTCAGCACGTTTCCAAGGGCTCTGGCAGTAAGCCAGATCTCAAAAGCCCATGCTATATTTTAGCTGGAACCCAAACTTCCCCCCCCCCCAGTGTGATGATTACCATGCTTTAATTACATTTAGGAAGCCTTGTATCCTCATCTCTCTAAAGACAAACTGCCAACAGGGAGAGATTTACCACCAACCCTTGATGTTTTTTATGTAAATGTACTTGACTAAGTGCAGTAACCCCAAATTCTAATAGAGACTTTCAATCTCTTGCCAGGTCTGCAAGTGTTTATATATGGCCAAGATAAATTGGATATTTACAAAACAGCTTTATTATAGGGGAACAATCCTCCATGTGTAAATCACCACTTCTAATCATAACACTACTGGGTTCCTTTCCACCCCAGCTCTTGTTTATGTCCCTTGATTTATATTCACCGAGAAATGTTGAAATGTAGTGTTTGAGGCAATGGCCTGGTATTGCCTTGTAGCCCAGACTTCTCAAAAGCTCTCGAGGCTCCTCAGTATATTATCACCATCTTGGTTCGGGCAGTGCAATAAGGGAACAAGCATTCACAAACACAGCATTGCTTAGATTTCACTTTGTCCCTTTGATTGTTCAGACAGCCTGATGGGAGGAAATGGAAGGGAAATCTCCCTGGTGACTTCATCCTCTCTCCCGCCCAATCCACCCCATCCCCACACTTTGGGAAGGAGGGCAAAGGGTCAGATGCCCCTCTCCACATGCCATTCGCATGCTGCTGACATCAGCAGTCACTCATGAGAGCTAGCTTTGTTTACCAACGGTGCTAATCTGAAGAGAGGCGTGAAGTAGTTTGGTTTGTGGAAGAGGGCAGAAGCGGCATGGTGCTGTGCAAACATTCCCACACAGTCTGATAGGTCATTCGCACAGAAAACAAGTGAAAGTCTTCATGTCGTGGGCAAAGTTCAGCGTAAAGCCAACAGGCTCTCAAGGATGCAAGGCCATCATAAGATAATACTCAGTGGGTGCCTGTATTAAGCCATTGCCTCTGGACTTACACTAACAATGGAGTGTGGGCACACATTGTAGGAGTATGTTGTGCTAAGTTTTGTTCTCTGCTTGTTTTATCTTTTACGGTTTTAAAAATGAAAATATCTTTTTTTAAATCTCAGCAAAAAGAAGATATGCAATAGTTTTGGGGAAGGTTATGACCTTCTAAACAAATTGCCCATTTATCTGTATATATCAGTCTCTCCCTCCTTTTCTGGAACTGATTATATTGCCTAATCTTGCCCCACTCTCTTAAGACAGGGAAGTTTATAGTCTAAACCAGGATTGGGGAACCTTTTTCAGCCCAAAGGCTACATTTCTTAATGGGCAACCTTATTGCCAAGGAGTGTTTGTGTGTGTGCCAGTGTTGGGCAGGGCTAGAGGCATGAGTGCGTGGAACAATGACTGTGATTCTTACTTTTGTACAGTAGGCTGTATTTCAGCTGCATAAAAGTCAGAGGTTTTGCCTACCCACACTTCTCTCCATCAAGGCAAGCAACCTTGAACATCATAGTTCAAGGATGCTAGGCAAATGCACTTGGGGAGAGTGAGGAACAGAGCCATTGAGGAGTGTGGCATGGAAATAGGGGGCATGGGAGGAGTCACAAGACAGTGCTCAGTTTGGAAAGAACCAATCAGCTGTTGGGGGGAAGTGGGCTTGACTTACTATTCTCCCACTCTCGCAAGCAGGTGATCTGAGCAATAAAATCTAATGGGAATGCCACTCTTTTTGGACCTGTGCAGTAACTGCAAGAGAGAGAGAGAGAGAGAGAGAGAGAGAGAGAGAGAGAGAGAGAGACTCCTCTGCATATGGGAATTCTGGGTGCAATTAGCACATGGAACTCTGTTTCTATGTGCACAACTTGGTCCTGAGAAGGTTCAAGGCATATTTAATTTGCACTTTTGGTAAGTTCTTCCATTGCTGTGCTAAATAGATATGCTTTAATGACCTCATTAAAGAGTGGATAGTGCTTGTTCAGAAGAAGTTCCAAGTTCCTTGGGTCTACTGATTTCCATTCATCAGTCACACAGTGAACTTTAACCAGATCCCACTAGCACTGCAGGGTTGGAGGAAGAGAAATACTGCCACTGAACTAGCATAGATCTTTAAAGATAAAAGACAGTGTATTAGTATTTACATGTCATATGTTTGTGTGACTTATATATGCACTTGACTAAGTGCAGTAACCCCAAATTCGCACTTGTGTGACGCGTTTGTGGTTGATGTTTGTTCTATCATTCCTGAAAATAATATTTCCCATTAAAACTGATATTAACAACTAATCTATGAAGCAGGGGTATTTAGGCATCTAGAACTGAAGTAAAATGTTCCTGCTCCTTGTCCATCTGTTCCTGGCAACAAATTTGAGTAATCAATGATGTCTACTTGCTTTTTTAAAAAGAAAAAGTTAATACTTTTCAAATTCTGTGAGAGCATCTCTCTCTCTGTGTGTGTGTGTATATGTGTGTGTGTGTGTGTGTGTGGTGTGTGTGTTAGTTACCAAAATAGACAAAGAGCACCTTAAATGATCATACTATCAGACTGCATTCGTAAGTCCACTTGCACTCAGTGGGACTTCATCCAGAATAAACGCATTTGACATTGCAATGTACAGCTGCAATACTATGCATACTTGGGAGCTAATCTCACAGAATTCAGTGGGACTTGCTTTTGAGCAAACATGCATAGGACTGGACCGTAAGACCACATTCTACTTCCTCCACATACAGAAAATGGAGTGCAGTGAGGCACATTATAGTGTACTGTGATCATTCCATGACATTTCTGTGCGCTCTGGTTTCCATCAGTGTTCTGTTGCGCTAGTAGTGGTTTAGTTATGCTGGCCACATGACCTGGAAAGCTGTCTGTGGACAAATGTCGACTCCCTCGGCCTGAAAGCGAGATGAGCGCCGCAACCCCATAGTCGCCTTTGAGTGGACTTACCATCCAGGGATCCTTTACCTTTTTTTACCATTACCAGCCTAATGTTGTTGGGCTCATCATCCACTCTTTTCATGGAAAAGGCTGCAAGGCTGCATGAGTTCCCAGAGGCTAGTGCCTTCGTCATCCAATGCATCAACATTTTGGCCCCATTTTGGATGTAGTGATTGTGCTTTAATAAACCATAATGTATTAATGCAACAATAAATAACCCTACACTCTCTGCCACCCCATATCTCCTTCCCTTGCAAATTCGGCACTTTAATCTTGGTCTCTTTGAAGCAGGTGTCGAGAACTTTGAGCCCTCCAGATGTGGATGAACTTCAACTCTTATAATTCCTGGGCATTGGTCGTGCTTGCTGGCACTGATGGGAGTTGTAGTTCAACAACATCAGGAGGGCCAAAAGATTCTCCACACCTGGTTTAAACCACAATTAAACATTTCAAATGAGGAACTGTGGTTTAATGTCAGTTTACTAACCAGAATCTGAAACTGTGGTTTATTCTGACTTCAGATCCTCATTGGAAAACGGACATTAAAACAGTTGTATTAAGCCGGGGGACGCGGGTGGCGCTGTGGGTTAAAGCCTCAGCGCCTAGGACTTGCCGGTCGAAAGGTCGGCGGTTTGAATCCCCGCCGCGGGGTGCGCTCCCATCGTTCGGTCCCAGCGCCTGCCAACCTAGCAGTTCGAAAGCACCTTCGGGTGCAAGTAGATAAATAGGGACCGCTTACCAGAGGGAAGGTAAACGGCGTTCCGTGTGTTGCACTGGCTCGCCAGATGCAGCTTGTCATGCTGGCCACGTGACCCGGAAGTGTCTGCGGACAGCGCTGGCTCCCGGCCTATAGAGTGAGATGAGCGCACAACCCTAGAGTCTGGCAAGACTGGCCCGTACGGGCAGGGGTACCTTTACCTTTACTATTAAGCCAAAAATGACTGTTTTTCTCTTACTGCCACTTCAGGCAGTTTCCCAGCCTAGGGTATTGTATTAATATTTAAACTTTACACCTATTTTGAAAAGTCTGAACATATTTTCTCTCTCTTATGGTTTCTTATGATCGGTGGAAATAGCTTTTCTAAAAGCTGCTTTCGGCTTTAGTTTTTCTGGGGTTTTCCCTTTCAGTTGACATGTTTCAATGTTCCAAGACAAAATATTTCTAATAAAAGAATCACACATGTGACAATGGATCGTTCTTCCATCCTGGTCTTGTTGAGAAACAATGTGGCATAAAATTGTGGCAAGAAGTTATTAAAAATCTGATATTGTCACAAGCTTGTGTCTCCACTTAGCAAAAATAATGATCCTGTCTTTCATAGTTGCTTTTTGACAAAAACTGAAAAATAGCACCTTTACCTTTTTTATTATTTTTTAAGCATACAATTGACAACTCTGCAGAACAATGTGGACACAGCTGTTTCCATCACAGAGGGGGGAAGGGCAGGAGAGTTTTCTTTGCAGAGGAGGCCATAAGAACATGGAGCCAGTAGCCCACCATGTTCCAGGGAGATTTATAAGAACAGGGAGCCATTATCTTGTGGATAGTGCATAAAGACATTAATAATTTTAGTTTTACATATATTAAAGAGCTTGAGAGTATGTAAGAACTTTTACTCAGTGCAGGGGCCTGAGCATGAGATTACAAAAAACATACAGTCTCTGAAACCTAGAAACATTCTCTCTTTCCTGCAACATTAGTAATACAAAACAATGTTTTCAGTTGCACATTTTTAGGGATCGCTGGTGAGAGGGGAAGAACGAGACGAGGAGCTGCTGTTCTGGGCAGCAGCGATGCTTATCCTCCATGGCTTCTTCCTCTGTTCTAAGTGTTGTGCTTTTGTTTTCAGATCTGAGTGATCAGCTGATGGAAGTGGTTGGTCTGGAGGGAGCCATGGAGATGGGTCAAATATACACTGGGCTGAAAAGTGCTGGGAGACGTCTTGCTCAATGCTCATCTGTTATCATCAGGTAGGAACTGCATTTTCCTCTGCAAAAGTAGGGTTGTGAATTTACTGATTGGACAGAACAATATTAAAGCAGGGATAACCAGCTTTTTTGGACCAGTGGGCACATTTTGATGGGGGCACTAGTCATAAGTAGCTGCTATGGGGCGCAGGGTGTGGCTTAATGCAAAATGGATGTGAATGGACATTTCATTCACCGCTGGAAATTAGGAAGCAATGGTTGGATTTCCCTCTTGGAAACTCTATTTGCTTCTGGGCCAGTATGCTTGTCGGCTCAGCCAAATCCTTCATTGTTAGCATAATAATAATTTGCTCACTCCTGACAACAAAGAGATCAGCCTGTAATTCGTTGGGTCAGTCTTCTCACTTTACTTATATATTGAAAGCACAGTTCCTTCACTCCATCCTTGCATAATTGTCCTGTCTATATTGTCACTTGGAACATGGCAGGGGGAATATTCAGACCACTACCTAGCATAAGTCTTCAGAAACTCTGGTGGTATAAAACCATGTCTCAGACCATTTGCATTTACTTTTCCAGTGGACTAAACACTGTATTTTGCTTCTGTGCCATTGTTTAATCTTAGCAAACACATTCTCCTTATATCCTTATATAGATAAAATGGCCCCATCCATGCACAGGAATGGAGGTATCAACAGCCTTGGGCGAGGACCCACATTTTGTACCAAGTATAAACAAATGTTCGGGATGCAGGTGGCGCTGTGGGTTAAACCACAGAGCCTAGGACTTGCCAATCAGAAGGTCGGCAGTTCGAATCCCCGTGACGGGGTGAGCTCCCGTTGCTCGGTCCCTGCTCCTGCCAACCTAGCAGTTCGAAAGCACGTCCAAGTGCAAGTAGATCAATAGGTACCGCTCCGGCGGGAAGGTAAACGGCGTTTCCATGCGCTGCTCTGGTTTGCCAGAAACGGCTTTATCATGCTGGCCACATGACCCGGAAGCTGTACGCCGGCTCCCTCAGCCAATAAAGCGAGATGAACACCACAACCCCAGAGTAGGTCACAACTGGACCTAATGGTCAAGGGTCCCTTTACCTTTTTATAAACAAATGTTCAGGGAAGGAACCCAATGAGGACTGAGCATGCTTCATGGGGCTTGAATGCCCATCTGATTAGGAGTGGAGGAAACGGCAAATAAAAAGGGGGGTGAGAGAGGAGAAACAAAAGAGAATAGGTCCCTCCCTCCTCCTTCTTTGAGCAGTTTTTTCTAAGAGCCCCAAAATATTAGTAGCAAAAACATTCCTTGTGCCCAATTTTCTCCATTATGATGTTATTAACATTTGGAGCTTTGCATTTGGGGGAACTAGCAAGTATTTGGACATAAATCATAATAAAATATCAACTACTTGGATATCCTCCTAGGTCAATAATCTACTAGTCATAATTTAGTATACATAATAAATTGTTATTGTCCATGTTTTACTGCATGAAGTATGTCATGAATTTCCATCCACAATTTCAGCAGTCTTAATTTGATTTGGGTTTTTCTTGTACGACACCCAGGCCTTTCTGACTCACTTTTGAGATAGTAAAATCAGCTTAAGTAGCAAAGTGGGTCAGATGATTATCTCATCATGTCTGGAAGTGGGAAGCCCAACGTATGTTTTTAGCTCACTTCTGGAATGCTTTCAAGGGTATGCCAGCTTACAGTATGGAGACCTCTTGAAACAATCAAATGGCCAATTCGCCCCATGCCACATACACACCTTGGAGTGCCTCTGGGTGGAATATGGGGACATGCTGTCTGTTTAGAACACACACTGTATTTTCTTCCTGTAACTGTTTTGCTCTAGGACTAGCAAGTCTCTGCCTATGCAGATTGATGGGGAGCCATGGATGCAAACACCTTGTACAGTAAGTGTGTCTTGATCAGTATATGTAATAAAACATAAAAATATAAGTGTCACAATGACAGTCTGTAATATTGTACGAAATGAAATATTGCATTATTTCCTCAGTCTTCTAGTGTAACCAACCCTAGATTATTTCATTAAAGAACTTGGATGCGATCCTGCAGTCTTACACACAGATTTCAGTATAATATATCTCCCTTCCTCGCTCCCTCTCTCCCCCCACACCCACCCATATATGCATTACTTCCTTATGTATGAACTCACTATACATATGTTTTTGGTTTTGCTCTTTCTAACAAGAATATGTTCAAATAAGTTGAATATTTCTGGCCCATCAACCTTTTTATTGATTTTATGCAGACCCATTCAAAGCACTGGAAAGACTTCAACAGGCACTAATTAAATAATTGAGGAAATTTAATTATAGCGCAGAGGAAAATGGGAGGAGATGCTTCTCTTTCTTAGTGTGCTTACTTGGGAAGAAATGGGGGAAGTGGTTTAGATACCTCACAGAGTAATCCTATACGTGTCTACTTGGAAGCCAGACCCATTGAGTTCAGTGAGGCTTATTTCAGGTAACAAGATGCAGGATTACAGCCTTATAGCTATTCCACATATTATACCGTACCTGACTTCTTCTTTGTATCATCATCATCATCATCATCATTAAAATTACCACAGCCAACATTGCTAATACAGTGGTGCCCCACAAGACGAATGCCTCGCTAGACGAAAGGGTTTTCCGTTTTTTGAGTCGTTCCGCAAGACGAATTTCCCTATGGGCTTGCTTCGCAAGACGAAACGTCTTGTGAGTTCTTGCGAGTTTGTTTCCTTTTTCTTAAAGCCGCTAAGCCGTTTATAGCCACTAAGCCGCTAATAGCCGCTAAGGTGCTAATAGCTGCTAAGCCCCTAAGCCGCTAATAGCTGTGCTTCGCAAGACGAAAAAACCGCAAGACGAAGAGACTCACGGAAAGGATTAATTTCGTCTTGCGAGGCACCACTGTAACATAATTACTTGGTGCGATATTTTATTCTCGCCGATGCTTCGGCTGTTTGGTATGCTTTAATTTCTTTACTATTAATTTCTTTTCATAAAGTTCTTTAGCCACACTTTTAAAAAGCCGTACTGAGGTGGACCTCCTTTTCCCTTCCTCATGCTTCTGGTTTTTTTGGAATAAACAATAGATCCGTTGCTTCCCTCTTTTCTTATTCTTATCTTATTCTGATATCAAGTCATATTCTTGGGAAGCCTAGCTTATGTTTTAAGATCTTAATTTTGGAGTGACCTGGTGCTGTTTCGGTCGGGTCCTGAGGCGTTTCACAGCCAGGAATGCCCCCCTTTTTGCGCTGAGGTTCTCCAGTCATCTTTCCACCTATATCGTGCCAAAATGACAGGAAACCCCTTCTTCTGCACTGCTTGGTGCCTTCCTTGGGTTTGAGACCTCCTCTCAAACTTTTTTCAGGGAGTCAGCGTTGCCCTCGCTCTTCCCAGCTTCCCAATAGCTATGATCGGAAGTGCTCCAGACTTTCAGAGCACTTTCCCTCGACCCGCCACTAAGTGTGTCAGGCCAGAAGTCCTGCTAATAACATAATTAGTCAGATAAAAACATAATTAAGAGAGAGCGATAGCGGGTAGCAAACAGGGGGTGGGGGGGTGGAATCTAACATTAAAGCATCAACAATTTGGCAAGCCCAATTATTATTTATTATTATTTATTGGACATGCCCAGTCCTTGTCAAAATAAGATTTTATTAATGGGCTGAAAAATTATCACAGAGAGGGCTTACCTGAGCGTTTCCACAACCTCGGTGCAGCAACTGAGGAAGCTCTTTCCCATGTCCTAGCTAATCTTACTTCTGACATTTGGACACAGAGAACATCTTCAGCCAATGTGAATAAACTGGACAGCCTGGTATCCAATGGGTTGTACTCAAAGTGTCTGGACAGTTTCCCTTGCGGGGGGGGGAGCTCCATTGTTTGGGTGCAACCACAGAAAAGGCTCTTTCTCCATTAGCCACCCACCTAATCTCTGCAGGTAGAAGCAGACAAAGAAGGGCCTCTAAAGACTATTTCAGAGGTTAAAAATAATTTTTAAAAAGGTCACTTCAGCTATGTCAAAAATAAGAGAAAGAACAAGCAGTAGGTCCTTTGCGTAGGGAACATGGAGAAATGCTATTGTGTGACAGAGAAAGGGCAGAACTACTCAACACTTACTTTGCCCCTGTCTTCACCCAAAAGCAAAGTGATTCCCAACCTGGTGATAACAGAATAAATGATGTAAGGAGGGAGCTGCAGCTAGGAACACCTAGCTACTTTAAATGAATTCAGATCTCCAGGGCCTGATGAGCTGCATCCAAGGGTACTAAAGGAGCTTGCAAATTTCAGAACCTTTGTCTATTATCTTTGAGAATACTTGGAGAACAGGTGAGGTTCCTACAGACTGGAGGCAGGCAAATGTTGTCCCCATCTTCAAAAAGAGGGAAAGGAAGACCCAGATAACTACTGATCAGTGATCTTGACATCGATACCAGGGAAGATCCTAGAAGAGATAATTCATCAGTCTATCTGTGAGCATTTACCGTATTTTTTGCCCTATAGGACACACTTTTTCCCCTCCAAAAATGAAGGGGAAATGTGTGTGCGTCCTATGGGGCGAATGCAGGCTTTCGCTGAAGCCTGGAGAGCGAGAGGGGTCGGTGCGCACCGACCCCTCTAGCCCTCCAGGCTTCAGGAGAGCCCCAGCGCCAGCCCCACAAGGTCGGGGGACAGAGGGAGGCAGAACGCCACCATCCCGCTGTCTTCCAAAGTGGTTTGGAGGCTGACGGCGGGGAGACCCTGCCGCCAGCCCCGCAAGCTCCGGGGACAGCGGGGAGGCGCAGCGCGTCTTCCCGCTGTCCCCAGACCTGGTCTGAAGGCGGGCTGTGGGGAGAAGAGCGCTTCTCCCCGCTGCCGACCCCACAAGCGCCGGGGGGAAATAATTCCCCCCCCCAAAAAAAAACTTGGTGTGTCCTATGGGCCGGTGCGTCCTATGGGGCGAAAAATACAGTAGATGATGTGATTATTTAGACCCAGCATGGGTTTCTCAAAAATAAGACATGCTTGACCAATCTTTAGCTGATGCTTTAGCTGAGATTCCTGCATTGGACTAGATGACCTTCCAACTCTAAGATTTTATGATTCTATGAGGTAATTCCTCCCAAGGGGCTTTTTCATGTCAGGAAGAATGGGCAGCCAGGAAGGCTGCAGAAAGCACTGAAGGAATGTTTACCTGTAAGGAACACACACACACACACACACACACCCTGGGTGCTTTGTAGTCATAGAATAATCTCAAAATCTCTCAGTGGCTGCAGTACCCTGAGAATTAGGCAGAAAATGGAAGCTTGTTTCACAGAGGAAGAAAAACTGCTGAGAAACCAGAGGACATTTTCCAGCCCAACACCTGTTAATATTCAAACTTGTCTATCTTCTTTAGGTAGGAACTTCTCTAATCTGCATACATTTGAGGGCTGATGTGGTTGGGTATTATTTTTGTGTTGTCGTAGTCCCGCACCGCACAGTGCATACATTATTTTTGTTTACCTATGCATAATTTTTTTTAATTTCACAACAGGTTCTTCCTCCCCTCCCCCTTCATATAATTGACAATGCAATTTACTGCATGTGTGCTTTCTGCACCTTAGACAACTATGCTGAGATGTAATGCACCTACCTCTCCCGTTCAGATTGTTAAGAAAAGAATTAGTTGTGACTAATTGCCAATTAATTTGTAGTGGTTTAAAGGTGGGGGGAGGGGTGAAACAATTGCACCTACTAATTAAAATTTAAAATATTCCAAAGTGTCATCTGTAGGTGCCTGTGGAATACATAATTTCCATTTTGGTTCTGTGCTGGATCCTGTAACAACCCTGAGGTTGACAGCTTTATTAATTTAAAACCTCAGCAATACCTATTAGTATAAAACATGAAAAAAATGTCATTAATCATTTATTTTAATTTTGCAGCTCTGTCATTTTCTCAGTGTGTTTAAAAATTATGATGACACTACCATGTTTTCCAATTTACCTGTGTGAAGGGGAAACGGATCACACTACTTAGGAGTGATACTAGAGTATATTATTAGAGCTTAATTAATGCCAAACTAATTAGATTTAATTTCAGTGGGTGCAATGATATTGCTGAGAAATTGTTTTAAGAGAACAGCCTTATATATATAAAACCATTGAGGCGGTTCATAGGGCAAGACCAACGTTATGCAGAGTGCAAAGCAAGATACGCTGATGTGATTTGAAAACTTATTGTATGTTTAAGTCTACTACTAATCCCAAACTCCTGGAACTGTTGGTTCAGAATACAGTGGCCAGATTGTTAATAGGAACCACATATAAAAGCATATTAAAGCTGTGCGGGCTTCAATTTTTTTTCTGGGACCAATTCACCTTTTAAAGGTGATGAGCTTTAAACCCTAAATTGTTTAGGACCCGGTTATCTGAAGGACTGGAGGTGATCCAATCGCAATATCACTTGGTTGAGAGCAGGGAGAAGGCCTTTTCCATTGGCTGTGCCTAAGCTTCTGGGGCTCCTTCCAGAGGGAGGCAAACCCTGCCCCTCTTTCATAGGGAAGTTGGTCCAAAACCTTCCTTTAAAGAAGACCTCTAGCATTAGCTTTAATCTGCTGCTGTTGGTGCATTCTTGTGTTTCGTGGAACTCCTAGATTCAACATTGTCTAGGGAGAATACATCTCCATGGGTTTAACAGCGGGTAGAAAAAGTAATTTTGGCAGCGTCAGCTTTTTACTCCTCTTTCTTCTAAGCTCTGAAAGCAGACGCAGATCCTCATTAGGACTCTTCCCGCTATGCTCCTCTTGGGACCTCTGCTTAATGGCAGAAGCAACTACCGTGCAGGTGTATTAAAACAGGAGTAGGGAATCCATAGCCTTCCAGATGTTATTGGATATCAACTGCCCTAGCCAGCATGGCCAATGGTCAGGCATAATGCAGCTCTGTTTTTCCATAACACTGGCATAAGCAAACTCGGCCCTCCAGATGTTTTGGGACTACAACTCCCATCATCCCTAGCTAACATGTCAGGGATGATGGGAGTTGTAGTCCCAAAACATCTGGAGGGCCGAGTTTGCCTATGCCTGCCATAACATCTGAATCAGGAGAGGCTGTGAAAGCTCTGGAAGGGTATCTGGGCACAGTTATGGATTGGATGAAGGTCAGTAACTGGTACTTGAATCCTGGAGAGATGGAGATTCTTGGGGTGGGGTGGCTCCCATACTCAGGTGACAGGCAAGTTGATTTGTATAGCTCAACTAATTAGGTACACAAATTGTACACTCGTTGAATGTAATGTGTGGACGCTCCTGCTTTGAAATGTGTTTGCATAAAAGTATTCTATTTTAGACTATACTGGTAAGAACTGTTGACTTTCCTTAGAGTTTCTTGTTGCTATATAGACAGGTAGTCCATTTCCAGTTTAAGGATGTTACAAATCTCTTAATAGCTTACAACTTGGAACAACAGCCTAGAAGTTTGGTTTTATTTTAATTTTATTTTTTTCATTCTTGGTATGGGAAGAATTATTAATATACCTAGTAGTTTTGATACACTAAGGTTCCAGAAGCTGGTGGTGTCAGTTTCTAATACCAAATTCATTATGTGCTGTACCTTGATGGCTGCTTTCTGCTTGGTATATTGTGAGGAAATATGTAGCCACTAATACTCTAAAGGGTGCCTAATTGGATGAATTTGCAGGAATTACAAATGAATGTTGCCTGAAGCCTTTTTTTATTTTAGCGATCCTGGTAGAGTTATGCATACAATTTCACATATGTTACCATAGGGAAGAGTAAGCTGGGATTCTAGAAGAGTTAAATAAAACCCACTTATCCTGTTGAATTTTTTACATTTCTGTCTCTTTTGATTGTAAAGTAAATTTCCACCCCAAGAAGTGGGCTGTTCCCTATTTTAATGAGCCTGTCCTCTCAGTATACTCCCCCACCCCACCACACACACATTACTATTAGTGAATGACAAGTGAAGGATATTCATTTTAGCTTGAAAATGTCAGGTATGCACTTTAAGAGATATATTTTTTGCCAGTTTTAATGAGGCGGTGTTTCTTTTTGAAAGAAATACTCATTTGTGATGTGGATACTGTGCAGATGACAACTGATATTTAATAAGTGATGGTTCTTGTATTAGTCGTAGTTCACTAAAGAAAATGTCCCAGATAGCTTTTGAAAAACTGTTAGCGTCACTAGCCCAAAGGCAAGATGTGACCTTTTTATTACATAATGAGAATCATTTATTATCTTACAATGTATCTTAAAGTCACAGACAAAATGCCACTTTGATAATTGCTTTCAATTAGCTTTCAGCATAGCATACATTCATAAAATGTCTTCTCTAATTTAGACTTGAATTAGAGAAAATTGGAGACATAATCTACGTTAAGGTTGTCTCATTTAAGGTGATTTCTAGTTTTATATCAAAGAAATCAAAATGAGTAGCTATAAAGCAGTCTTTCATGGTGTTTTAAACAGGCCTTTCAATATTTGATTTGATTTTACTATCAATTAATTAACAAATTAGAATGCTACTCCATCATTTTTGACCTTTTTAGTAAGTTGGCTTTTGACTTTAATTCCTAATGGTTATTTTGAAATTCAGCATTGAAGTTCACGTTAAGAGCAATGAACAATGCGATTAGGAGAAGTATAAATAAGGCATGCTACTGTAATCAAGTGTCTTATTTTTAATTCGTGATGTGTACAAAAAAATCATTATCAGTCTGATCTAGCGGCAGAGCAAAGCACAGTAGAAATGGCTTCTGCTCATAGAGCTGCCATACAGGGGGTGGCAGAAACGGCAGGCTGTGGAGGGAATTATCTCCTATATCCAGCAGTAGGTAGGATAAAATATGGGCCCATTACCCTAGTCAGTGTAGCCATGAACACAGCAGCAGGTATGTAGCCTTCTGCAGCATTTACTGTATTTTTCGCTCTATAAGACGCACCAGACCACAAGACACACCTAGTTTTTGGAGGAGGAAAACAAGAAAAAATATATTCTGAATCTCAGAAGCCAGAACAGCAAGAGGGATCGCTGCGCAGTGAAAGCAGCAATCCCTCTTGCTGTTCTGGCTTCTGGGATAGCTGCACAGCATGCATTCGCTCCATAAGACGCACACACATTTTCCCTTACTTTTTAGGAGGGGGAAAGTGAGTCTTATAGAGCAAAAAATACAGTAAATTTCCTTGGGTCAGAACCCCCTGGTCCCTTATATCCCTGCCTGATCCCTGATAACTTTGGGGAAATCACTGCTAGCATTCCCCATTGGCTTTGAACCCCCTGGTCCCTTATACAGTGGTACCCCGCAAGACGAACGCCTCAGAAGACAAAAAACTCGCTAGACGAAGGAGTTTTTCGTTTTCTTAGCCGCTTCGCAAGACACATTTCCCTATGGGCTTGCTTCGCAAAATGAAGCTTGCCCCGCAAGCTCCGGGGATAGCGGGGAAGTGCAACGCGTCTTCCCCACTGTCCCTGGACCTTTTTTGAAGCAAGGGGCCCCGGAGATTGCCAGCCCCGCAATCTCCGGGGACAGAGGGGAAGCGCCGCGCGCCTTCCCCTCTCTCCCCGGACCCCTTTTGAACCAAGGGGCGGCAACGGGGAGAAGCGATCTTCTCCCCTCCGCCCCTTGCTTCAAAAGAGGGGACAGAGGGGAAGGCGCGCAGCGCTTCCCCTCTGTCCCAGGACGGTCTCCATAGGAACGCATTGATTGATTTTCAATGCATTCCTATGGGAAACCGTGCTTCGCAAGACGAAAAACTCGCAAGAAGAAAAAACTTGCGGAACGAATTAATTTCGTCTTGCGAGGCACCACTGTATCCCTGCCTGATCCCTGATAACTTTGGGGAAATCACTGCTAGCATTCCCCATTGGCTTTGATGCACAGCTTGTGTCTACCAAAAGCCAAGAGTTCAGTATTGTGGACCAAATTTATGGAACTCCCTTCAGCTGAGGTCAGACGTGCCCAATCCCTGTTGAACTCCTGGGGCCTACTGAGGACATTTTATAATTTTAGTTGGTTGACTGGTATTCTGTGCTGCTTTCCATTCAAATGAATCCCAAATTGGCTTGCAAACAATAAATAAGAATAGCATAATGAAACCCCAACAAGTGCAGCATAAATCATGTGACGTAAATGAACAAATCATCAGTAAAACAACTGCGATCTATAAAACACTATTAACAAACAAACAACTAAAAAAAGATGCTGAACATCACAGTTATAAGTCGTATTGTATGACTGATGAATCAGCATAGCGTTTATAATCTACAAAACAATAGTAACAAAATAGCAACTAAAAATAAGTTAACACTATTAAGTGCATACATACTCTTCCCCAACCCAAATGGCTCAGAATCGTTCACTCTGACCAGTTCATCAAAATACACATAAACATCTATTATATAGTAGGATTGTGATCTAATAGAAATAGCTACAACTTAGCTATACTTACTTATGGGTTTTTTAAATTAATTTTTTATTTTCATTGTATTGAGTTTCTTGTACACCACTGAAAGACCTTAGTAATTAAGTATTAAATGGATTGTCTAAATGAAACGAAATAGGTATTTAATACTATTTTTTAAAAAACAACAACACCAAACTGATCAATAATCAGTTACAACTGTACAGATAAATATAATTCAGGTTATATATATATATATACACACACACACACACACACAAAGAAAATGGTTTTTACAACACCTTATGATGTTAATTTGTATAATTAGAATTATGTTTGATAACTGAGATTCTGCCCAACCATATGAGTATGATTTTTTCCCCATACACTGATAATTGCCTAGGCAATGGTCTCAACATTCATTCATTCATTCACCTCTCCTATTTTTTTTAACATAGCATTGTTCAATTGCTTCTTTTAAAGTAACAAACATTATTTGTGAACTAGAATGGATAATAGAACTAGATTGTGAGCAAGAATTAGAACAAGAAATTATAATAAAATTGCTGTTTGATGTGTAACTAATAAGGAAACTTAAAATAATCATTTTTTTTGTGATCCATTGCTATCACATCTTTTGATTAGCTAATAATTCTTTTCTCTCTCACCAGATAAAAATCACCCACAAGAACCAAGCTCCAATACTGATGGGACCACCTCCCAAAACTGGGCTCTTCTCTTCCATCATTAAGAGAACAAGGAACTGCAGCAAAGAATAAGCTTCTTTTAGTTAAATCCTTACAAAATCAAATTAGCAGGGATTTGGAATATGTACGCTGGAAACCTCTCAAGGGTTTTAAAATGTTCTCTACTGCATAATCATGGAATCTGGAATAACAGTTTCTGTGACTGAGCTAATGTAAAACGATGCTATTAGAATAATTTATTGCCACAGTTTTGTAGGCATTTTGCATGAAGAAAGCTAATGTTTACATAAAGTGATAAAGCTTATTTTTGTTGCATGCATTGCCATTACTAATTTGCAGGATAAATATGCGGGGGGGGGGGGGGAGAGAGAATGCAACACTGTTGGAAATGTGATTTTTCCCAGGATGTGAACCTCAGATTGGTCTTTCAGATGGCATATTTAACCCATTGGACTACTCCGGCATCTTCTGAAGAAAGTGCCATGAGGCTTATTGCAGCCTTGGTTGGCTTCCTTTCCTGATTAACGCTGAGGAATAACAAACGTTCAGCCTAGTATTTGCCCAGCCGTCCCTCTTAAATCTCACCCATTGAATTCAGGGCAGATCTGATCATTTAAAACCTGGCACATGAACTCTTTGTGCTATCCTGTTCTGTTAGACTTCATACAGAACAGGAAGCAACCAGCCTCATTTCCAGTTTTCGGAGGGCCCTTGAGCGAGGCAGACACCCTGCACGGGGGGGGGGTCCCCCCCTCTCAGAAAGGACACAGGTTCGAGCTTTTCAGGTCTGTGTCTGAGCACTCTTCCCTTTGCCCTGCCGATATCCACAAGCAACCCCACTTTGCCTGTTGAATTGGAGCAAACTGCAATCGGCGGGGAAACCCGAATTGCCATTTGCTCCGATTCAGCTGTAAAGAGCGGGTTTTCCTGGGGAAAGAAAGAAAAAAGTGCTTGGACGTAGACCAGGGAAGTGCAGACCATTGCCTAGAAAGCGCAGGGCAAAAGGTAAGCAGGGATAAGTCCAGAGTCCAGAGGCGGAGCGTATGCCCGCGCTCCCAAGGAGGGGCAGGGCACAGAGGGTGCCCTCCCACACACGGGATAGCCGCTTGGCTGCACAGAGTGGCGCATGCGCCCTGCAGCTCGGGGTGGAGCGAGCCACCCATGGGGGCGGAGGGAGACGTCAATGGCGGACATTTGGTGCGCCGCCTGCGACTTCCAGGCCTCCCCCAGCTGTCAAAACAAAGGGGGAAGGGGGGAATGCGGCACAGTCCCCCCTTCCCCCGACGCCTCAGGGTAGGCTTTGGAGTCACGGGTGGGCGGCGTGCAAAATGTCACCCCCCTCAGCGAAGACACCTGGGGCCCCTGCCGCCCCTGCCTGAGTCTCCTTCATCAATGCAGCAAGTCCAGGAAACTGTTGCCACTGATGCTCCCCCCCCCCCAATTTTTTTTATTAATTATCCAATAATTTTTTTAAACAAACAAACAAACATAAATCTCAGCCTATTTAAACCAATCTTTGTAACATTGTTAAGTGACTTCCCCATATCCCCCTGGTTGAATTTCAATGTATATCATTTTAACAGTTTCCCAAAACTAATGTTCTTATAAAATTAACTTAACATTTTTCTTTCTTCCAAATTTGGCATTAAACATATTTATCACATCACATATTTAAATCCTAAGCCTATCTGATATTTGCAAGCTTTCCAATTAAATGCCCACTGATGCTGGTCCATGGAAACAAGTCCTCACAGTAACCAGAGGCTGGCCTCCCCCCCCCCCCAAAAAAAAATAAGCACATTACATAATAGGCTGTTTAGTTCCACATGATCAAACTTCAAAATATTTCCATCACAAATACGGGCCCACGCTATAGTGTTAGAACAAAAGAAGCTAACATGCATCTGAGCTGGAGAACCATTACACATAATAGGAAGACGAAACCCTGGGTTTGTCGCTGAGCATTGACTCAACATGGAGACTCAGCCAATCCTGTCTCTCCGACAGGTGTTATTTGTACGATACATTTGTCTGTTTGCCACATCCATACTTTAATATTTTAAGTGTACATCTAAACATATAAGAGCATATCTGGGAAAGAAATGCAGCTGTTGAAACCAAGCCAAAAATTACTCCACATTAAATCTTCATAATATATCAAACTTCCGAGCAGTCTTGCATATTAGCCTGTGAAGCAGTAGGTGTGCCACATCATAACCAAGCCACATGCCTGATAAACCACATTTCCACCAAAGATTTAGCAAAGCGAGGTTTCAAGGAAAATCGGCTGGTGCAAAAGTAAGCATTTGGGATCAAAACCCTCTTTTGATTACTTTGGCAGTGCCTGTACCAAGAAAGGGGACTGAAATTCATGAATTACAATTAATTCTTACTAAGTATTTATTTATTGTGTTTATAAAAATAGTCCATGAATCAACTGGTCACCCCGATCAGATGGGCTCATGTGTGTGTCCATTGACCTTGGGGAGGTTTCGTATCTTGTATTTCAGAATGCTCATGTGAACAAATGGGGAGCAAGTTTAGAAGCTGCCTCTAAGGGTCCTGTTACTGCATGCGCAGCAGAGACACTGGATCGGAAGACTCAGAGTTATGGCCAATCATAATTGTGTCACTGGCTTGTTTCCTTTATAACTGCAAAACAACTGATGATATTGCTGCCTTTTTTGTGTTCTCGATTCCAAGAATTTCTGCTGTGATGATTTTGTGCTCAGTACCTTACTTCCCACCCATGGCCCCCTGGAAAATGTATTAACAGCTTGGAAAACTGCAAAGCAGCTTGTTTTGTGCAATATAAGTGCCGCTGTCTTATGGTCAAGGCCAGGCCAGCCAACAATTTCTATGTTACGTATAAACTTATACATCTATAGCAAACTGCTTTTGGGGGAAGCCACTGTGATTTTCAACCCATTCCCCTTTTAGTTTGAGTTTCATCCTTGCATGCTTTGCTTTCAGGCATTCCACCAAGAAGAGCAACTTGCTTGAAATGCATGATTTATTAATGCCCTCGCACCTTCTAATCTATCTCATACTTTGCTAATGATTTATCAAATCTCTTTTCCTATTGATTCGTTCATCCTTATGAAATGCAAACAACATGAAATCTTTCTGTTGTGCACGGTATTGTGCATGGATGTAAGTACATTAGATACAGTTTGAGTACATTATAGGATTTGGTAGATTTCGTCTGTGTGTAATTGAAGAACACAGAAGCAGTATATTGCCGGCAAAGACAACGTACAGTACGTGAAAAATACTCTTAATGTTCAGTAAATGTTAGCAAACTAACGCCACTTAACATAACATTCAGCATTAGGCTAAGAAATGATATTATTATTATTATTATTATTATTTTATTATTATTATTATTTATTAAAATTTGTATACCGCCCTTCATCCAAAGATCCCAGGGTGGTTCACAATAGAGATGTCTGTCTCCAAACCTAAGGCTGTACAGTTCAACATGTATGGGTCCAGTGATGTTAACTATAGTGTCAGAATTATAATTCTCTTGTAAGCTACAAACAAATGTACACCTATATCTGATGCAATGGCTACTTCAGATATCCATGACTCAAAGGCAAATCCATCTTGCACATACTGTATCACATGACATGTTCATTGATTTTATGAAATTATGGCTATAGGTAATAAATATTTTCACATTATGAGTACAGTTTCCTACAAGTGATATTCACCTTCTTTGTAACCACACTTTTTTTCTTTAACAGCCCCAGCTCCTTGATGTAACTGTGTGATAATCTTACAGGCATCATTTCTCCGAAAACTAAAATCTAAGCATAATTTTAGTGGTGTGAGATCTGCTTCCCTATGATTCCTCCTCATGCTGGTATCTTGCACATGAAGTTACTACACAGGTGGGACCACTGAGCTAGTCCTTTGCCCTGCACCTTGTACAATGCTCTTGAAGGAAAGTCCTGCTCACGTTACTGCTTTCTGCACAGACTTCTTGAGCAGCAGACTTCTTGAGGAACCCACAAGAAGTATCACACTTGCCACAGTGGGTGAATGTGGGGCATAGACTACAGGATGCAAGAAAGGGAAATTGCTGCTTAATTGTGGTACAAATATTTGTCGGTAGCTAGCTGTTTCAACAGATCCTTGACAGAAGACTCTGGTGGAAGGATCAGTCGATTACAGTATCGTCCATTTATTATTTTTCCAATTTTAAATTCAGTTCTCCACATTTCTGCAGCAATTTGCAGAATTAAAAAAAATCCTCCTAGAAATTCATCAGCATTTAATGTCAACTTTTCCCAATAGGCACATTTATGTACACCGTTTTGACTAAGGTACACAATTTTCCTAATATGATGCATATTTATATTTTGTTTTCACTAATATATTCATGTTTATGCACACTTTCCCTTAATATATGCATTTTTGTAAACATTGGTTGGAGAATCGCGTTGCAAAATTTGGATGAGCACAAATTTGGGTGGATGGTTGTGTTTTGGTTCTATTGTTTCAGAAAGTACGAATTCGATAGATTCACCTTTAGGTGTGAACCAAATCCAATTTCTCCCTCATCCCTAACCCTCCCTTGGTGGATACTACACCAAGGCTTGTTAAGAAATATGTCCAAATATAAGATTAAGTCATTTGCTGTGTTGTGTGGGAGAGTTTTCTAGAAAAGAAAGCAGTGTGTTGCAGAGGTTCTGTGCACAAACAAACCCAGTGATTGTGTTTCCAGGGCAAACCTGTTTAAAGGGCTCTTTGACCTGTGCTGATGGATTATTTGAATGAATCACAGAGGTCTGTACTGCTGCACCCTTGATGGAGCTGGGTGGGGTGAAGGATAGTTAGAATGCAAGCATCTCTGAGTAGCAGTGGATCAACTTAGATCTAGGTTGAAGGTATTCATAGGTTAGTCCTTAGCCTGTAAGCCCAGAGTTAGGAACCCATGGCCTCTAATTCCCATCAACCCCAGCCAATTCCCATCAACTCCAGTGCGACCAGTCATAAGGGTGATGGGAGTTGTCATTCAGCAATACCCATCACTAAGTAAAGAAAAATGCCGTGGATTGTTGTGCCATGAAGATGAATATATTTGTTATTTACTCTTCTAATTTGGGCTATGTACACCTGGGAATAAGGCACTGAGCACAGTGCAACTTCTTTCTGCGTTAACATGGTGAAGATTCCGCTGTAAACCTAGCTTGGGGACAAACTTCTGAAACTGGGACATAGAGGCAGGTGGTGTTATTTAGAACCATTTGGTTGCTTCAGACATTTTATGAATCTGGGCTTCAGCTAGTAAGTAAAAAAGCCAAAAATCATCACACAGGGCTGGCGCTAGTGGAGAAAGTCGAGCTTCCAGAAAGTAAATCCTCCTATTTTATTAGGAATGGTGTGTTTCTAAAACTCCGGTGGTGTTTTCTAAAACCACACCTTGCTGAAGAATAGTTGTGGGTGGGCAGCTTCCACCTTCTAAGAAAAAGACAGTGTTCATGTCACTTGCCACTGCTTTCCCCCCCAAAATGCCTGATGCTATGGACTTGAATCCTTCCTTCCCTTTTCTTCAGTAAATCTCCTCACATCTCCAAGACTCTTCCAGCATGGAGCCATTTCACATGTTTCCTAGCTATGATTCAGAGTTTGCTGAAGAAGCACCTTGGGACGGCTTGCAAAGAGTGAGTCATACGAAAGAGTAAGCAGTCACTGCAGCGTTTTGGTATTTACAGAAAAAACAACACCTGTGTTGATGATAGACTAGCACAATTCAATATTTACCGAGTGCTGCTTTCAAATAAACACAGAGTGTCATTCACAGAGATTGCCAGCCCCAGGGACTGAGATCAGAATGTAGACTAGCTAGCGTGCCTTTAGCTGCCTAAGAGTTCGCGCCTGTGCTCTGCTGCACATAGGCATGGGCCAACAGAGCAAACGCGAGCTTATATCACTACGTTCACACAATCGTACGCTGCTCAGGAGTTGCAGAAAGTGGCATTTCTCTCTTGCGTAGCAACAAATGGGGTGCAGTTGCATGTTTTAAAATACAGTGGTGCCTCGCAAGACGAAATTAATCCGTTCCGCGAGTCTCTTCGTCTTGCGGTTTTTTCGTCTTGCGAAGCAAGGCTATTAGCGGCTTAGCGGCTATTAGCGGCTTAGCGGCTATTAACGGCTTAGCGGCTTAGCGGCTATTAATGGCTTAGCGGCTTTAAGAAAAAGGAAACAACCTCGCAAGAACTCGCAAGACGTTTCGTCTTGCAAAGCAAGCCCATAGGGAAATTCGTCTTGCGGAACGACTCAAAAAACGGAAAACCCTTTCGTCTAGAGAGTTTTTCGTCTTGCGAGGCATTCGTCTTGCGGGGCACCACTGTATACGCAGCACAAGCCACTACTGCCCTTGGGCTTATTTCAGACCTGAAGCAGGCTTGGTTAGGTTACTCCACATTTGGTGCTAGGTAGCACTTTTATAGATGGCTTCAATTGTACACACAATATTAACAGATAAGAGCATTCATTTCTCACAGTTAAGAAACTTTCAGTTACCACTTAGCTAGTCTGGTAAGAAATTGAATGCTTGAGTTTAGTCTGTCATTCTTCTTGCCCATCTCTTTACTTGTACAGTACCATCATGATGCTTCACACTAGCATTACCCAACTTTATGCCCTCCAGGTTTTGTTCCACTACAACTCTAATCAGACTCAGCCAGCATGGCCAGTGGTCAGGAATCATGGGGGTTCAAAATATATTTAGGTTGGAGAAGGCTGGTTTACACAGTTGAAAACAGTTATACCTCCCTAACTTGAGAAAACAGTGATCAACAGATGCATGAAAGGGAGATAAGTAGAGAGAGGGGGGGGGAGAGAGAGAGAGAGAGAGAGAGCGCAGATTATTCAGCGAGGGCTGGAACAGATGTGGTTTAGAATATCCATTATTATATCTTCCAACATCTTTGTTTATTTATCTGGAAGCAAAACTGGAGGCAATTTGTTTTTGGTCTAAGATGCATGGAGGGTTAACTACCAATTCTCTAATGCAAATCAATCCAGCTAGACGCTACTGGTATGCTGTTTCTATGCTAGCCAAGATGGCTGTGCACTATCTCCCAATATCTGAAGCATTATGCCTGTGAATATCAGTTGTCAATCACAAGTAGGGGGAGCCCTGTTGTACTCAGATTCTCCTTGCAGGCTTTCTATGGACTGACCACAGTGAAACCAGGACGCTGAATTTTCCAGCAGGAAAATTTTAAAATGGTCAGGCACTATTATTTATTTACTTTTCATTTATTTAGCACATTTATCACCTCACATGTATAAAAAGGCCCCGGCGCAGATTACATCACAAAAAAAATCAAAATATAGTTGTGCAGTTAAAACAGCAACCAATGAATAAAATTATCTGCAGGAAATAAGCAACTATTAACACCGCCTATCCAAAAAAGCCTGGGTAAAAAGATATACCTTTGCATTATTTCCCCCTGGCATGATACAATCACAGATCTCCCCCGTAATGTGCTGTTTGGCCCTGAACTTACTATAAATGCCATTCATGTCCATGTAAGCTATTTACAGTTTTAGAAACCAAGACGGAACTGAAGCACTGGGGGTGTTGGATTGCTGTTGTTTTAGTAAGAACGTGGATGTGAACACTTGAAAAGTGAAAAGGGGACTGGATGAATGCTCTAAGAATAAGTGGAAGTTAGGGAGAATGAGGTGGGTGACCTTGGAAGTGAATTAAGGTAATGTGTTGAGAGTGAGTGGTGGTCTACACTAGGAATATGGGGACAGTTGAAAAGTAGAAGATAAGCGTTCGGGCGAGGCCATGATGAAGATACAGACCATATGTTTACATTGGAAGTGAATTAAGAAGTTGGCAAAATTTGTACTTCCTTAGCCTGAATGTGAGGGATTTTTTTGGGGGGGGTTATAGTGTTTATGCAACAGAAATGGTGAATATTGGGACCTCCAAATCTTGGATTAAGTTGTGATCTGAAGAATAATTATTATCCAAGCCGCCTCCCAACCAGTAATTCCCCAACCCTCCTTCCCTCCAAGCCATGGGTAGGCAAACTAAGGCCCGGGGGCTGGATCTGGCCCAATCGCCTTCTAAATTCAGCCCGCGGACGGTCTGGGAATCAGTGTGTTTTTACATGAGTAGAATGTGTCCTTTTATTTAAAATGCATCTCTGCGTTATTTGTGAGGCATAGGAATTCATTCATTTCCCGCCAAAAAATATAGTCCAGCCCCCCCACAAGGTCTGAGGGACAGTGGACTGGCCGCCTGCTGAAAAAGTTTGCTGACCCCTTCTCCAAACCATTCATTCCCTAATCTCCCACTTACGGTACCTGGCTGGTTTGGCTGCTGGTGACAAGCATCTGTGAGGAAAAGAAAAACAGACCTCTCCCCTCTCCGTTTAGGACAGCATGCCAAGGCACAAGGACCCCATAGTGCTTGAGGAAAACTACATTTCCCAGGGGTGACCAGAACCTTGGTTCTCTTGGCACACCATTCTGCAGCGATTCAGGCACCAGGTGGAAGAGGTAGAGAGAGACCTCCCCTCTTTGCTGTTTACTGCAGCAGCCAGGTAAAGGGGGCTTGGGAGATCAGGTTGGGATGGTGTTTGAGGTCTCTGGGAGCTTTTGGCCAGGCCAAATTGCTCACACATCTGAATTGGGGAGCAACAGCTTGTTTCCT